ACTAGACACTCAAAATTGATTTACAATGGAGTCCAAACCAGTCACCAAACAACAATCTTACATAACAACAATCACTACACATAAAAATCAACAAGATAAAAACAAAAACAATTTGCATCAAATATGGAAAAATATTCCATTATAAAAATCTAGTAAGCTGTACATGGATGACAAGTTGTATCAAGAACCATTATCTTAAGTTACTGACTTTTTTATTGAAATTAATTTGTTTTCCAAATTGTCTTAAAACATTTGACTACATGTATACATAAGCATTTATTTTATATGAAAAGAATATTTATCAGTTAAATTATCACAGATTTAAATTTTACAATTGTCACAAAGTTTTAAAATGGATTGTTCAAAATTATGAAGTCATTTTGATCTACTGCCTGTCAGTGACCTTGTGTTACTTTCATAAATGCCAATTAATCAACTAAATCGGAATTGTAATAAAGTACACATTTTACAGGTATCTTGGAGTGGAAGTCTTTTGTGAATGAAATGTTTGTCACACCAACATAATATACTATACCTCCTTAAGCTACTGAACCATGATACAACTAGATCCTGAAGTACATGAGCAAAATAATGCTTAAAAAGCTTAGTGAACAGACAACAACAGTGATTCAATTAAAAACTGTCTTCCCATTAGAATTAGAAAACAAAAAAAAAAATAGAAAAAAAGTGTATTGCAATTGAATGGTTCATATATATCTGTGATAGTAGAAATGTTATTTGAAAAACATTTCCAAAGAAAAGCTGACATTCAAGCTAATTCAAATGATACAATATTGTATATTAGTAGTAATTGGTACAAATAATATTGAGATGATAATGATAGATGTAAATGTAATTGCATTGTCCAAATATAAAACATAATTATTATGTTGATGATATAAACATCACTTTAAGTAAACACCAGGGGTTGTGCTCACTTACGACCTCTGCACGACAAAATTGAAGGTACGCAGTTAGCTATTTGATCAGTTTCAGGTAAAAGATCCAGACCAATTGCTTGGCTGGTACCTGCACATCAATAGATCAAACTAGTCTCCTTGTATCATCCACAAGGTGGCACTTGCAGAGTCTCAATTTCTTCATGACATTTTTCAGGGGAGAAGAGAGCGTTATACACCTGGAATTTGTAGGATGTAAGTCCCTAAGCAACACCATGTTAAGTAAACACCTTAAGTCTACTACATTGATTCAGTTTAAGTCTACAATAAGTCTACTGATGATATAAAAATTGGTAAGTCTACTGCATTGATTCAGTTTAAGTCTACATTAAGTCTACTGATGATATAACAATTTAATGGCTAAGTCTACTGCATTGATTCAGTTTAAGTCTACAATAAGTCTACTGATGATATAAAAATTGGTAATTCTACTGCATTGATTCAGTTTAAGTCTACAAGAAGTCTACTGATGATATAAAAATTGGTAATTCTACTGCATTGATTCAGTTTAAGTCTACATTAAGTCTACTGATGATATAGCAATTTAATGGGTAAGTCTACTGCATTGATTCAGTTTAAGTCTACTGATGATATAACAATTTAATGGGTAAGTTTACTGCATTGATTCAGTTTAACAAAAGTGCATTGATCAAGAAAACAAAATAACAACAATAACAAATCAAATCAATATGAAAAAAGCAAAAACTATAATAAATATCTCAATATATTATCCATCAAAATGTACACTGCACTAAAATCATGCAAGGAAACTACATGTATCTGACATCTAAAATACATTCAGTATGGAATAACCTGAAATGCAACATATTTATGATACCGTTGTTCATTTTTTCTGGAATTCCGATACATGACACCACAGAACCTAAGCTACTGCTCACTGGAGAGTTTTTTAACCCTGTGCATGTCAAATGATCATTACTTACTTGACATTTTTTAAACATTCACCGTTGTTCACATTAACAGAGGAATATTGAGACTGTCGCAATAAATATTTCATAAATTCTGATATTTTGCTCCAGCCTACAGACTTACTAAAACAGTTTTACAAATGATTGTTTACAATAATTAACCATGGAAAAAATGTACACCGTTTCACATTGATAAATCGTACGAATCACTCAATAATTTGAATATTTGGGATTATCCCACAATGCCCCCTCCCTCAACCCCAAGTCTAATCCGAGTTATGAATATGCGAAAAACTTAATGAATTGTAATCCTTTTTACAGACAATTAAAACCAAATAAAGAGATAGCAAAATAAATTTGAACTTAGGGCTGTTAGCAAAACTGCATAACTTTTAATGTCAGTTATTAAACTGATCACCTGAATAGAATGCGACTGTTGTTGATCATATTTGTCTTACTTTCATTAGATCTTTTTTGAAGTTTTAAAAATAGAAACTTGCTTTAAACAAAAAACAACTCTGATTTTAATTAGATTAACATGACAACAGTCATCATTAATTGAACCTAATATAAATGTTCCATCTGAAAATATCCCCACTTTTCTTCCTCTGGCCATTGACAAGAGAAGTTTCTTTCATGTGAATGCATATTATTCTGACTTTTCACCTAAACATCCTTAATAAAAAATAGAGTTAATTCTAAACTGATCACCTGAATAGAATGCGACTGTTGTTGATCATATTTGTCTTACTTTCATTAGATATTTTTTGAAGTTTTAAAAATAGAAACTTTTTTGAAGTTTTAAAAATAGAAACTTGCTTTAAACAAAAAACAACTCTGATTTTAATTAGATTAACATGACAACAGTCATCATTAATTGAACCTAATATAAATGTTCCATCTGAAAATATCCCCACTTTTCTTCCTCTGGCCATTGACAAGAGAAGTTTCTTTCATGTGAATGCATATTATTCTGACTTTTCACCTAAACATCATTAATAAAAAATAGAGTTAATTCTAAAGAAATATTTCTAGCGATTGTTGCTTGAACAAATTCTTTTTGTTCCATATTCAATTATCTCTTAAAGTATTCATAGAAAATATCATTTTGACTTCTGTGTCTACTCTTATCATTAATACTAAGGGGTAATTTAAGCACCAATACCACAAACCATTTACAGCCTAAAGCTACTGTCTACCATTGTTCACTAATGCTGATCAAATCTTGGTGATGAAAGCTCCATTGTGAGAAAATCATGTTTTTCCTTTTCGTTACAGAAGTGCTCGAGTTCCAAACCAGGGAACGACATTTACTGTAACAGCTGAAGCCTACCGATATTTTTCTGAGCTAACAAACTGTGATAACTCATCAACAGGTCGTAAAGAACAATATATACAATAGTAATACACCATGATTTTCACAAAAAGTCAAAATTACAATACTTTCTTTCATTTGTTAAGGAAAAAGTTTTTTTTGATTTGTGCTATTAGTGCCATGAGTTTTAATGTGCACAGCCAGTAAAAGTGACAAAATGTACACAAATGCTGCTTTTAATGTATCTTTGGTGAAACATCAAAAAACTATCCAACATACCATGAAGCAGCCGAACTCTCTATAGCAGGACATTTACCTAAAACTACATTACACCAATTCTGATGAATTGAATACCAGTAATACATTAGATTTTATCAACAAAGATCCCAGAAACTGATACATTGAGATGACCGAGACCTGGTGTCAATACTAATCTATCATTGGTTTACACTACCTGTATCTCAGCACCAACTTGATTTAAGTAAAATACTATACACATGCAAACTGTGTCCAGAGTAGAGAGTCCGCGGTAACAAAGTTACCCCATCATGTCCACGGTAACAAAGTTACCCCATCATGTCCGCGGTAACAAAGTTACCCCGTCATTACTCCAGAGAGTCCGCGGTAACAAAGTTACCCCGTCATTACTCCAGAGAGTCCGCGGTAACAAGGTTACCCCATCATTACTCCAGAGAGTCCGTGGTAACAAGGTTACCCCATCATTACTCCAGAGAGTCCGCTGTAACAAGGTTACCCCATCATTACTCCAGAGAGTCCGCGGTAACAAAGTTACCCCGTCATTACTCCAGAGTGTCCGCGGTAACAAAGTTACCCCATCATTACTCCAGAGATTCCGCGGTAACAAGGTTACCCCATCATTACTCCAGAGAGTCCGTGGTAACAAAGTTACCCCATCATTACTCCAGAGAGTCCGCGGTAACAAAGTTACCCCATCATTACTCCAGAGAGTTCGCAGTAACAAAGTTACCCCATCATTACTCCAGAGAGTCCGTGGTAACAAGGTTACCCCATCATTTCCAGAGAGTCTGCGGTAACAAAGTTACCCCACCATTAAATTATTGCTGTCGGGACAAGGCAATGTGTTACACCTGTTTTATCTGTTTTTTTTATTTCTGCCTTACTTGTTAACTGGCAAAACAAAATGCTATTTCTTTAATGTATTCGCAACATCACTAACTATTATTGAATATAGCTTTAACTTTCAAGTTTACTGAAGCTTCAGTTGTCAGACACACATGTCAAATATAACTGTCCACATTGTTGTGGAAAACTGAACAATGTTAATATCACATTCATCAACATTATGCTAGGGTTTGGATGGATTTCTAACTTCTGACATGGTGTAGAGCATGTAGTATGTATGAATCTACATGTATTTGATCTATAAGTACAGTAACTTGATCCTTTGCAAAATATAAGTAATTCTCCAGTAAGTGCAGTAACTTTCACATTAGACGGTATTTATATATATATACGTATGTTATTTACAAAGATGAAAATCACTACTGATCTTTTGGACAATAATAGGAAAGCAAATTAAAAGAAAATCTAGAAATTCAGTTGTAAATAACTTCCACAAAAATCACTAGGCCAGACTGTACCTTGGTCCCAAACCATCACTACCATTAGTAAAGCAATGAAAAATACTGATTATGCATTAAGTATGAATTAAGCCGATTACAGAAGCAGGCTCTGCAGTATAATTATAACAAACATAAACTACTTCCCCATCATTAATTATTTTTTTCCAATATTAACTTCATCAAGTCATATTTCATACAAATTAAGTCAAATTTCAGAAACATACAGGTGCCCTTATTTTCTATTTAAAGACATATACATTAATAAAATTCTGTTGTTTTCGTTTAGAATTCCTGATAGTGCTCAGTATCACATTTTTACGTAAAACATCAATGTTAAATCCAGTTAACACATCAATACTTATATAAAACATGTAAACACATTAACATAATGTATTACACACAAACTACACTCAAAAAATCTGAAAAATCATAAATATATTTTCCATAATAATAAATAGATTTTACAGTTTACACATTATTTACAATCACAGAACATCTAATCATTGTAGACGACCTAAAATGACAAAACAATTTGATATGGATTATGAAAGACAAACAGAGGCCGTACACACCATGTCTAACCATGCAACATGATCGGGGCCTCACCTATTTTCTCTCTAGTAACAAATCTGTTTGATTTCGGGGAGGAATATCAGATTCCAGGAAATTTCCAAAATTGAGAAAATATTTAAATGTACCCATTAGTGGTTTTATAAAAACAAACCGAGAGAAATACATGTCAACTAAGCTATGTATCCTGTTGGTACAATGAATTATTTTATTTAGGATTTGGACTTTTAAATAGGCAGGCAAATTCTTGTGATCAATACAGGAAACTGAATACTCATTATTGAATCATGATCTTTCTTAGGTACATGAAAAGAATGTATGGTAAGCAAAATACTTCAATATTGACATCTGATTCTCTTATATAATGACAATTTTGAAAACAAAAGATTTTTGTCAAGGGAAAAATTTGAATTCGGGATAATTCTGGAAACAAAAAGGACAAAAAACTTTTACAGGGAGAGTGTAAAGCTATTCCCTACTTTCAATCAAAGGTTTTGAATAAATTGTCTTCAGTAATTCAAACTTTTTCACTTAAAGAAACTTTATGGACTGATAACATCTACCTCCAAAAACCAAAGGTATAGTTACCAGAGTACAATATTGAAACGGGAGGGATATATAAGTTCATATACCCTATCTAGCATTGGAATTCATTCCTTAATGAATACATTTGCAAATTTTCTGCACTAAATTTTGTGAAGTAATAAATCTTTCCTTCCAGGGAGAAACTTCCATAATTATCAAGGCAACCCTTGTCAACTGTCTGTCTCACACGAGGTACAGCATGACGGACACTGTACAGGCTGCTCATTCTCCTCAATCCCACGGGCAAATATCTTGATCAGTTGACAGTGAATTCTGTAAATATAAAAGCTATCAAATTAGGGCTCGGAAGAAAACAAAAATATTATGGGTACTGGTATTACAAATTCATTCACCAATTCATTCACCACAGTATTAACTTAATAAGTTTAGTTACGTTTACTACAGCTGTTTTTTTCAATACAGGATCTTCATATTCCTCCACAATGAACTAAAAATTGTATCATTACAAAATAATTTAAAAATTGTAATGGACAAATAACCAGTTCCTAGGATCATGAATACAGACTTTGGCCCAAATTTGAGTACGTTTCATCAATGCTAAGTAAAAATGTAATCTTATATTCGTGTAAATGCATGATCTCACTAACTGTTAAATTATTTCCACAGAATATTAATGTTAACCAGGGAAAATCTAGATTAAAATTGATAACTGCTTCCTGATCCTTCGTTAAAGTGTGTCCTTACTTGATGTGGAGGTTAGTCGTTTCCAGGATTTCACCGTCACAGTTCCACAGACTGACCTTAGGGTTAAGGACATTACCCTGGGAATGATTGGTCCGGGTTATTCCTGCTGCCCTACTCCCGTCCTCCTCATCCTCACTTTGGTCATGTAGGCTCCGGAATCGAAATTCTTTTACCCGGAAAACTTGGACGAAGTCAAAGTCAAACTACAATAAAATTTTACACAAATATATGGTGTAATGCAGATTTACTCATTCCGGAAATCGGGGTCCGGTCCCCGGATTTGATATTCAATACTTAAGCACGCTATTCGGTGTTCGTTGAGTTTTACCGCCATTAAAAGGTTGCCCTGAAAACTCCGACGATCTTTGTGTTTTTATTGAAAAACACAGCCAGCCATCAGGCACAACAATATCATATACTCTTACCACCAAGAGCAGTCTATAAACCTGGTTCATTATCAGTAAAGCAACTTACATGTCCATGAAATACATCACCTACTAAATGGTATGAAACAAACATATATGTCACCCTGGTAAAATACTAGCCGCTTCCTACCGACTCCGCTAGGGAGACTTCTTCTTTAGCTCATTCTGTAGGGCATAAGACTAATAAACCAGAGGTCCCAGGATCGACTCCTAGCAGAGGCATTAAAAAATAACGACCTCTGTTACATAAATTAGCAATTTTTTCTACCTTTTTATCTCAAGTTTACTTTTTAAGTGCTACCAATGTGTTTAATTCATTGACAGCTTGACCCCACTTAAAATGTAACAATGGCTTTGAAGAAAGACTTTGTATGGAGTGTAATAAGTGACCATTCAGACCTACTTTAACACTTCTCTTTGACTAGAGAGATAAATGGTTAAAACTCAGATCCTGTTGCGTGTTTGCCTCAATGTCACTTGTGACGTGTGATAGTGAAGAACAGTGGTTATAATACTTACATGGTCAGCATTCTTATCCTGACATCGTAGCAAGTGTTTCAGGAAATTTGCCCTAGAACAGTCTGATATAATCATCAAGTCCGTGGTACCGTCACCTAAATGTGCCCCAGGGGCCATTCCATAGGGCGTTAAAGCATTACGACAACTCATGGTGAAGCTGCTCAGTACTTTAATCTTGCCCCGTATTCTGTGCCAGCCATCGGTGCCTGAAAAAAATTGTGGTACTTCTCACAATACTTCAATCTTTCAAACCAACTAAACCTCTTACAAAATTAAGTAATGCTAACTTACTAATACAATATAAAGTGCAATTTGTTTAAAAGTACAATTGTATATACATATAACAATGTTCAGCCTCATGTTGAATTGAAAATGGCGAAAAGTTACACTTACATATACTGTATATAGTAACTGTTGACAGTACTTAGTATATATATATAAACTGGTGTTATTATAGTCTTAGAAACTTAACAACAGAGCCATCACCGATTACAGGCAACTTATAGACAGCTTTTACATAGAGGTGACAGGGAGCAACTTTTGCAGTACTGATCAAAGCATAACATGCCAAATTAAAAGCAAATCAATTTAATTTTACTACTGATTATACATTTGATTTTCTTTTAAGGAGACACGAGCTACTTACCAGGTCCACTGCTAGACGATGCTGACATATTCCTGGTAGGGATTCTGTCCTCGTCCCTAATCTGAGAAAGACGACACTCATTGCATCTACAAGATAAAACACCATCAATGTCTCCAGAGGAAGGAAGAAACACACAGTACACAGGAGAGTGACATTTCACCTCCACAGATAATTAATGCAGCTATCAGGATTTAAAATCTGTAATTTTCATCGCAGTTCTTCGAGCTTTATAAAAAAAAAAAAAATGGAAAAAGCACCAGTACAACACTTCTACAATTTAATAATAGACATGTATGAATATGATCTCCCGAGTACAGACCTTGGTATATTTTTTTTTACAGCCAATTAAATATTCATGCTAAGAAATATAAATTTTACAATTACCTAGTTACAGATTTTTTGTTCTTGAACATGAAACAATGTATCACCATTTCAACCCATTATACAGTAGTATCTGTATCCTGGGATAACATCTATTTATCAACATAANTCACCAACAAATGCTTATTCCGTCTTTGCGTATTGCAGAGTTATCTTCTCTTGGGAGCAGGTATTGATTGTTACGTCATTGGTTTGTGTGAGAAAATTACGTTGTTTTCTCAAAAATTGATGACGTTACTCTCACAAACAAGTGACGCAACAACCAATACCTGCTCCCAAGAGAAGATAACTCTGCAATACGCAAAGACGGAATAAGCATTTGTTGGTGAAAATTCCTACACTGACAAATTGATACAACAAACACAGAACAACACTCAACCTACCCAGAAACACAGACAGTCTTGTCCCGGGGGCTGGTATCTGCATCGGGTGCAAGCAATAGGGATACCTCCCCTTCGTAAGATTTGTTGCTGAGAAATTTCTTCACACCTACAAGTAGCCAATCAGAAAGGTATTAAATTGTAATCAGATGGAGTTTCTTGAATCTTTTACATTATCAATGAAAAAAACAGTCTCTAACCTATTATCACAACTCAGATGATGACGAATATGTGGATTTCCTTAAATACACTATGACTAAAACTTCTCATACCATGGAGAGGAACATCTCATGTAAAACCCATATCACACACTGATGAGGAAATCAATTTTTCGATCCTAAATTTCAAGAATGTTGTTGATCCTATAAAGTACCAATACTGAAAACAAAGAAAATTGCTACTGTATATATATACCAGGAAACTTTCGCTGCAACTTTTTCTTCGTCTTTCTCGCCCTCCGCAATTAGGGAAAATTTATTATTATAGCGAACAGTAGTTAACGATATAGTTAACATAGTAATAAAATGTGAAGAGTGAAATAAATGGATTTTATTGGCCCAGGGCAAAACTTGGACTATTTCTCTTTAAGTAATCCTGGAGGCATAAAAAGAAAATAACTGAAATATCTGTCTTGGATGGATGTTTTGCAATATCCTTGACTTGAATCTCCACAAGACTTATCAATGATTCATAACATAACATTACACCTCAATGGTGATAATTTTGTCTTTAAAGCACATGTAAATACAGAATTTACACACTTTTTTTGTATAAATGTATTTCTGTGTACACTGTACTTAAAACCTTAAAAAAACAAATAATCCACTCTTATTTTGTTACTCCTACTATTAACCTGAAACATGATATCGTTTCGGTCCCATCCATCTGTTCTTCTCGCTGTCCTTCAACATGTCGCCATAGTAACCGTAGGACAGCATTGTCACGTTGTATCGTATCAGCTGTTCCGCGGAGTACACACCTGCCACATCTAGACCAATACTGTCACCTATAGAAACATAATATTATATAGCTTACCATTTCAGTAGAGCTATTCACAATAAACTTTATTCTAATTTTTATTATTCTTTAACTTAATCAAAATTATATGCAAACACTACCACTTCATTAATTATGCCTTATTTTCTAAGTTGTATAATTATGAACTTTTCCTAATTAGCTTAAAAAAAGAGTTGTGTCTTTATCAGATTATGGCAATACATAAATTCAAACGAGTTTACAGTAACACCAATTTTTTCAATGCTTCCTTTTTCAAATCCTATTTACTATCAAAATTCAAATATTATGTTTTGTAAATATACATATGCTGGGTTTAAATTTTTTGATTCCACTAACAAAACACTTTATGTTGATATCATTTTTAATTGTTCCTTAACACATGTATGATAAATTTAACATGTTGATCAAAAATACACTTCAACATCAACAGTGTATAATAGATTATGTAAATTAGCCCTGCAACTATAAGACGGACCCCACACCCCTGAATGCCACTAAACCAGGAAGTTCAGTCTGTACAATTGTTTCAGACTCTGAAGAAGTCTGTACATGTATAATATTTCAAGTCATATTTTGTTCTTCCATCGGATAAAAAGTAACTGGGATTTCTACACAGACACTAGCAGACTGAAACTGATTAAGATGGAAAGCGGTCTGGTTCTACCTACCCACAATGATGTGGAGAGCAGAAGTCACAGGATCATTGGTACCAATGGTCGTGTATACAACAGCATCAGTTGACCCTGTAAAACAAAGCATAGCATAACATATAAAGGGCTAAATGCAAACCAATGGTCAAGGTTTCACCCACAGCTACAATAGCTTCATCAGTCCTGAAGCATTGATAAAAGGAACTGGTAAGCCTATTAAATTGCCAACAATTTAAGTGTTTTCATTGGTTATGATATACAGGTCAGAATTGGCATATAAACTCTGATCGCAACAAAAATTCTATATATCACATTGATTGATGATAGCTGGATACTTGATGAACTCATTGCACAACCTGATTCACATCAGTTTTATTCTTTGCCCAGAACCATGTGTAAGAAGACTTTTCTGACACGATACAAACACTACAGAAGAAAAAGGTCCCTTAATCCAAAAGATGTAGATCTAAATCTCATTAGTTTATTATTATTTGGTTATATTTTTGAAAGACACTAAGTCTTTCTATAATATGTGATATTGCCCTTAAACTCTTCCATCAGGACTCAACAGCTGGGATAGCTTATATCACATCAGATTATAATATCTGTATCTCCAGGAGACTGCTGAGTCACTTTATAATATCTATATCACCTGAGACAGGAGACCCTATTATAATCTCTATATCATTCTATCAGCAGACTTGCCTGCTGGGATGATTCCTATACGTAGGTCTGTCGATGCTGGTACCTGGTCCTTACACTGAGGTAGCCCCAATTCCCTGTTCTTACGATCTATGAGGCCGTTAAAAAGCTCCGCAAACATTCCATCTCCTCCCACACATATCACACTGCAGTACAAAAGTAATACATTATCAGTAAGCTGCAATAATGATTTGTTTATTTGATATTTCAATTTTATTTCAAAAGTTATTTCTTTTTAATATTTTAAAATAGTTTAATCAGATTTGAACTTGCAATGACTAAAATATAAACATGAAGAGGCTCACTTTGGTATAATTTAACAAGAAAGTCTATATATTGATGTTAATTAGGATAAATTTAAGTGCTCAAACAAATGAAAACATGTGACATCTAGATACTGACAGGTCTTGTTCCAGTGTATGATGCTGTTAACCTGCTGTACAGCTAGCTTACTAGCACATACTGTATAAACATTGATTGAACATGCATGCAAGTACATTTTGTAATTGGAAAAGTAACAAAATCAACCTTTAATGTTGCGTTATCAAACAGTTCACAATTTAAAACTGCATAATATGGATTTTAAGATTTAATATAATCGTCATATCAGGATCCTAGAGCTAAGACATCTGTCACCATAAACCCCTATTATCCCACACCAGTACTCATGTTTATACATATATGGAGAGTGCCATAATGTTGAAATATCTGGTACTTGATCTGTTTGAAATATAATAAGGGTAAATGAAACATGCATAACTCACCCATCCACACGGGATAAGTCGTAGGTCTGTATAATGTCTCTGGCGTGGTTCTGTCGCTGAGTAACTGTAAAATATTGTTATTAACTTTATTATTACGCTGAAACATACATATTTATATCAAATATTAACAGATTTCCTTATAATAAGAAGATATTATTGCTTGGTATGAGTTCACTTTCACTCATTCACCCCTGAAGACACATTTGAACTCTTCCAATTCATAGGTCGGAATAGTCCATTATGAAATTTCAGGATTGTATGAGTTAAGCAACATTTGTACTGCTTATGGATTATAACAATTTTGCTCTGCCTTCAATTCAATCTGGTTGGTATTGACAGGTATTGACAGTCTCCTCTTTCCTAATCAGGAATATGTTTTCACTGCAGTGAAGATATATCGGATCTTACATGAGTTTCCATTTCATATGAGATTTATGAAACGAGTCCAAGAATTTTTCAATTTAGCAATCCTCTGGCGAGCGAAAATGAAAAATTTGTGATGAGTTTCATAAATTTCATATGAAATGAAAACGAGTCAAATCATTTTTATCACATAATCAAGATTTGTGGCATTTATTCGTGTAAAACGACAATTTTCATGCAACTTTGAAATAAAAAAAGCCGCCACTTTGACGCCAGTGCGTAAGTCTGTGACGTCATGTACTTGTCCTAGGCGTGACGTCACAATTGAAACTTACAACCAATCACAGGGCTGATAGGTCATATTACATAGGTTAATATGCCAAAAAATATGACATGGGTATATTCACTGGATAACACAGTACATTATGTGATTAATCATTTTTATCTTGCTGATACAATTTCCCTTTCTTTTGTATATACATACAGCATCTTTATCAAGTTCCCAACTTACTGATGACGTCTGTACGGATGCCTGCCTGTTCAAACAGTGGTGCCACCTTCTCAGAATAAATTTTTGGTCCCCGTCTTTTCCCTCCATAGGGGTTCACAAATACCAGCAGGCTTTCTGGTCTTGATAAACCTGTAATGGCAATGCCTTATCCAATGTATATATAGAGAGATGGATATTTATTTAAATGTTATCAAAATAAAAGAAAATATCTGCAAAGTCCTTAGAAAATCATCCGATTCATAGTTATTTGATATAAAGTCAGTCGTCAGTGTACCCAAATTGATCTAAAAATCTTGTTAATGTTAGCCGGTGAAATTTCCTGTTTATGACGTCCCAACATCAACATTTACTATTGATTCAGCATTGTCTTAATTTGTTTTGCTGTATGCAACAGCTTATTTTCTCTGTAAGTTAGGCCAGTACTCAAGAAAAAGACATACAGTCATACCTGTCCATGCAATCAATTCCATAAAGACACCACCTGTGTTAAGAGACCACCTGTAATGTTCTCCATAACAGTGGACCTTCTAAGCTGGATGGTGGTCTCATAATACAGGTTGGACTTAATTTTTTATAGATAATCTTAATCTTGCTTCCTTTTTCATATTTTTAACATCATGTTTTTTGGTAATGTAAAGCAATGTTTAACTTAATTTTAAAAGAAGCAACAATAAAGGAGGTAACTACTGGTATATTATATTTTGAGGAACAGAAACTTGCCAAGCGCTCAAAACATTTCAAGGATGACATACCCAGTTTGTCTATGGCATTTCTGATTCTGAACACCCATTGTTGACAGAGGTAGGCTTCCTTGCTGGTAAATGTGATTGTTTTCACCTTCCACTTGAAGCGAGAAGACCGTTTGACATAACTGAGGGTGAATGACTGTGGCTTGAGAGGCCGCATCTCGATGTAGACGGGCGACCCATGGCTGCGCTGGTCCTGGTTCAAATCTTCAGTGTATGACGTTCCATAGGTTGGATTTACACATAAAATCTCCTTCACTGGCACACAATAGGCAAAATGACCTGAAGAAGTACAAACAAACAATGTTATTTAGGCAAAACGGTGTGGGAAACAAACTAATGGATATGATTATGTTTATAGAAATGGCATAAACAGGGAATGGAGGTGGAGGGGAGAGGTTGGGATGGCCCATACATATGAGAACATGTGAGTTTTGTGCTGTCAGCTGTAAACACTTCCTCTGTGGACAAAAACGCAGTGTATTTTTAATGCACTTCACCCCTCATTTGAGATATCAAATGGAGGTTTCAGAGGTTGACATCTATGAATGGGTAAGAAATTAATAACAGACCCATGGGCCTAAACAGGCATCTGACTACAAAGACTGAGCAGGGAGAATGGTAACTTTTCAACTTTCAATGAAATATTCTAAGAATTTGTTTTCCATGACGGTAGCTTTGTTCAGCAGTGGGTAACTATTTGTCATTAAAGCTATCAGAAAGCATTTAAACCTAAATCTGAATAGATTTCTCCTTTTAAGGTCCCGTCACGCTGTCAACGGTGGTTAAACCTGCCTGATTTATAATATAAGAAATGATTGTTTCATACTGAAATTGTTGTAATCTACTTTTGGTATTAACGAGTAGTGTTTAAAAGCAGGATTTTAGGTAATTTCCTTCCTTGGGGCGCCAACCTCTCTATCCCAGAGGGGTCGAACCAGCCTCATTTATTCAAGAAACGATTGTCCTCCTTCCCCCCCCCTAATGATACAGCTGTACTTAAATATGATGTCAATTCTATTGTTGAATGTTGGGAACTCACTGTAAGACCATATATATGGGCACAAGCATTAATTAGATCAAAGGAGATTTATTTCTCTAAAAAAAAAGAATTTGCTGAGTTAAAACATTGCTCAGTGGGAGAGGTTTGGGTATGAAAGAAATTTCTGAAACGTGAAAATTGTTTTGATAAAGATGTTTTTTTTTTTTTATTTCCATATAAAAACATTATGAGGCATTTAGGGGTGAGTAGCTATAGTAGGATTGGGGTTGCTATCTCCTTTCTGAATCAGCTTGTGCATGAGAACCTATGTAATACCATTGTATAGACAACACACTACCAGTATGGACCATACCTAGCTCTAGTGATCAAATCTAATATTGTGTATGCACCATCGCTCTTCCTATATAATCACCATACTGACATTTTACTTCATGAATAATTTGCACAGATTGTTTAATATTTTTTTTTTAGAATTCCCTGGCAATCATTCAGGTAGCAATGTTCGTGTCACACAACAGGCTCCATAAACATACATGGTTCAATCAGTACTACTAGACTACTTGTGTAGTCGAAACAATTTTTACATGTAGCCAGCTGGTTATCTGATGTAATCATTGTTTAAACAAACACCCTGGAAGTTTTCAAAACAAATTAAAGCAATTCAAAATACAGAACTAAAATTTTCCCTTTAATTATCAAGTTAAATTATATGCAGAATAGCTTTTTTTTTCTAGCAAAATACCTGGAGCAAACACTGCTTCACACAATAACACCAAGCATATAGCTAATACATCAAGTTAACTTATAGGTTTTACCATTTTACATGTAGCATAATTTCTATATTGATTTACTTAAAAGCAGAGCTGTACACATTCACCCCTCAAATTTCACAATGAACTATTCCAACTTTTGAATTGGAAGACTTCAAATGTGTCTTCAGGGGTGGATGGGCTAACAAGCAAAACCTTACACCCTTCCCTAATTCTCTTTGTTTCCAGTATTACCATTGATTGTGTAATTCTACATTACACATTTTTTATATCAATATGTTGTCCATCCCAACAATTTGAATAATATAAATCTTAAACTACATTTACTTAAAATATTTCACTATGTAAATACAATATGCTCTATAATACAGGCAGTGTTTACACAACCTCTACAGATCTAATTTTAGCTAGATCTGATTTACATTTAAAACAAAGGTCAATATAAGGAACACAAATTTAATACCAGGTCAGAAACATGACATTTTAACATAAAGTTACCACATAGTCAGTATACAAATGTACTAATAAAATAAAATCTATCATTTTCAGTCAAACCAGAGTAGCTTCCAGTTGTATTCCTTTCATATCATGTTACTTGTATTGATCAACATGATATTAAACTCAATTTGCTCATGTATAGATATTATTTGCACAGGTACAATTTTTTTTTATGAAAATACTCAAAAAATGTTTCTACTACATTGAAATATCATATATATATCATTTTATGCACCTAATATTTTACCCTTAAAACCTTTTATATATAGCATGCGTCCTTTAACATCCAGAAATTGGCCCCAAAACCTAAAATTTGTGTCATTATATAATTATTGTCTTTGAAATAAGACCTCCTTTTCAAAAAGTGGTTTAAGATGGTCCTCTGATCGCATACTGGAAATATATCATTAACCTTTTAAATTAAAAAACAATACATATATATATACGCATTGAGTTTTTGCTTCTACAAAGGAACAGCATAAAAGACACATTATTTCAACTTCATTCACATGGTCTCAAACAGCAGAGTTGTGTTTAGATTGTCTTTATTGATACACAGAGTTGAGAAGAAGGGGTTGTATTTTCAAATATTTTTTGTGCATAGTGGACATTAGATAGTGAATACTAATAAGTGTATCAGAATACATTAAATAGATACCTTTGACTTCTGGTTCTTACTGATCAATATACTCAACAGGGCGAAGGGACATACACCCTACTTTTTTAGGTCTGTCAAATGTGAAATTTCATGAAAAATTATTTCATTTTAAATAAAATGGCACCAGAAAAAAAGCTTAGACTCTGAAGCTTAAATCCCTCCAAGGTACTGTAATATTTGTCTCTAACAGGAAGGGAACTTCCTTGACTTTCCAAGACTGCCTTGTATTTGTGAGATTCCTTTGTATGACATGGAAGAATGCACTTCATCTTTACATGTAGTTTCACTTTCCTATGAGAAATTAAAGAAAATCTGAATGCCACTTTTACAATTGAAAATATCTCGATCCATTTGTTTTTGTTTTGTTAAGCTTTCGAGTGAGGAATCGATCAGAAACAGTACAAACAGTACAAGAGGAAACTTGAATATTCCCATGTCAGTCAACAACATCTCTGAGGAGAAAGTATTTCACATTTCGTACAGTCAAACCTGGAACAATCTTCTGGAGGAGGTTGCATCCGCTCCAAACATTTACCCTTTTAAGAACAGAATAGATAAACGTTGGCGAAATGAGAAACTTTATTATAACTATAGAGCAAATGTTATAAGCAATGAACATTAAATTTATATTAAACTTTTTTTTTTAGCCCAGTGTAGAGGAGCTCTATCGGCTCTTGTATTGGAAAACTAACGTAAACTTTAACTGATTTAACTCTTACAGTTTTTGTGTGTTCACATGTTAGTGACGTCAGATCGATTCAAACTTCAGAGGTTTCACATATCGAAAAAAAAAAAAAAAAATCTTAACCACAGACTAATCTAGTTTCGTGCCTAATCAGGGAAAATGATGCGCAATCAAGAATAACATACAAAGGAATATCAGGCAGGGGGGACAATCCAACCTGTCTAGGTAACATATATATAATATATATATATGCATCTAGGCAACATTCACATATCCGGTTTATACGGTTGAACCTGTAAAGAAAACGACAGACACAGATCTGAACCGAGGCTGACATAAAGAAAATTTGGCACATGTAGATTGAGGGGTCCAGACGTACCTGACCGAATCTAAACTGCAAACAATGTCAAGCCACATATATGTAGTTTTTAAGATATGTTATGTAATTTCAGTGGACGCGTGAAAGACAGTAGACTACTGTACGGTAAGTCTTCCTAATCTTCCATTTCATTAAAATGAGGTTTATTAAAAAAAATGTGTTTGTGTTGTTTTTAAGTACGTTTTGTAAAGCAAAAAACAGAATATGTTATTTTCTTCACGCCGACACACATTATAACATATATTTATAACACATTTAGTCTAGAATACACATAATCGTCGCCGTGTGACAATATTTTCTTTATTTGATTTCCGCGCATGTCCGTGTTGTTTTTTGCTAATTGGAGGAGATCATTTTGAGAAGTTTTGATAGTAGTGACCAATAAAAGTTAATATGCATATATATATTTGAGTAGATCATTTTGAGTAGGTCACTTGTCATAAATAGGACATTTCTTAATACTGTGTTATAATTCAAATATTTTTGATAGAAAGTGGCTGACATGACAGGATGCTTTTTAATTGTTTATATCATGTTAGAAGTTGTATAAGTATTACTATTTTACATTTCTAACGTTAAAACATGTACAGATGCATTACAATGATAATATGCAGTATATTCCGGATATTAGTATGTACAGGTTCGTATTCTTCTTCCGGCAAGTAATTATATTTTTAATTCAAGAGAATTATAAGTTTTTTATTCCAGATATTAGTATGTACAGGTTTGTTATTCTTCCTACGGCAAGTAATTATATTTTTGATTCAAGAGAATTATATTATTTTTTTTAACTTTTAACATGATATTTATGACTTAAAGAAAAAATAATTGTCTAATTAGCAGTCATCGCTCCATACTAGGAGATTAGTTCTTCATGTGAAAGAAGAAGAAGGCCCAAGTCCTGGTATGGCATTAATGGCACTCTGTTGGAGTTTTTAATATACACATGTCGTTGTACCATATAAACCGCCTCGGAGTGCCATACATGATACCATGACTACTGCACTGCACATTGCACACTAGGTCTGGCACCTAGCTATAGGTTCTGACTACTGTACGGTTGACTACAGCTGGACTAATGGCAGACACATACCAGACAGTAACATCCTGGGAGTTCCAGGAAGATAATATCATTTCTAGGATCGCAATGGCAACAATACCAAAATTATTATTAGTGGTAATCCAGACGATTAAGTATGATATTTTTAGTTGACATAGCTGTCGTGTGTCAATTATTTATGATAGCTATATTGAAGCTGAGATTGACAAACAGCAAATTGCACATCTGCACCAATCTTTGTTTACATTTTTCGCTGACTGTTTTCAGTCACTTACGGAATAATGGTTCCTCCTGTGAACTTTTCGTCGGCTGTCGGTTGTAGATATTTTCCCAGAAAATGTGTGTCGGTGTGAGTTTGACCTGATGAGTTGCACCATGGATCTCTAATGTAGATTGGAAAGTTGCACTGTCGTCGTCCTCAGCCATTTCATCGCCACCACCGTTTCTGTACACAACACGCATGCGCAAAATATATATTACTAAACACAAGCAAACGAACCGTATAGTAGACTTGTACAAGTTATTTAGATCCGTGTGTTCAAGGGATTTTGATAAAAAAAATCTAAACAAATCAATATAGTAAACATATGATTTTTTGAAGACAGTCGTCGAAACTCAAGAAAACTTATTCTATTTCTGATTGTAGCTTTAAAATGACACAGCCAATTTGACTCACAGGGACCGGAGAATTTGTTACAGCTATATTTGGACCTAAACTAAGGTGTTTGGAGTAACTTTACACGCTTGTGGATTTATATCAATATCATCATTAGGGTGGCATTTTTACTGAATATTGATCTAAACCCCCAAATGTGTTAAATTACTCTAAACACCTTAGTTTAGGCCCAAATATAGCTGTAACAAATTATCACGTCCCTGTGATCTGACAAAGCGTTCTTCAGCTTTACTAAAGTTCACTGTTAACATCTAGATTTAACTTCTTTTTAAATTCTATACTATCCTTCCACTTCCAAAAATCTATTTAATTTCCTTGAAACGACGATTAAGCATTTTAATTACTGCAAAATTCAGTTTCATTTTTTTGTTTCATTTCGCAAAATTCAATTAAAAGTTTTGTCATTGAACCTATTTTCTGTTTGAGCTATTTTCAATCCTATTGTTAATGCAAGTTATATTAATGGCAGTCATATGTTAAGTCACGCTTTATCAATTTATTTTAAGTTAAATGACCTACAATTGCTAAGTATTGAATTTCTTGTATCTCGTTCACTTGTCGTTGAATATTGACTTACAGATCCTCTTTAATAACTTCACTTCCATAGTTTTGTGAAATTCTAGACAACTACCAGGTAATCTGATAGTGTAAGAAGACCAAAGACTTTGCTGAACTTTACCGTTTGTTTTGTATGGTTAAATAGACGTTTCATCCAATATTTTATAAACTTTTCTAAACAGATTTTCACCACACCTGACAGCAATAAAACAACTTAAACCGGGGCAAGCAAACCGGTCTATAAATGTAAGTAAAATATACTGGTGATTAACATTATATTGGAGATAGTGCTTTTTAAGTTAGTAAATCATTACTTAATTTGACATGTCATAAACAATTTCGATTTAACTCATTCACCCCTAAAATTTCATAATGAACTATTCCAACCTTTGAATTGGATGAGTTTATGTCTCTTCAGGGGTGAAAAGCTAAAGGTGAGTTTCTGTCTATTTTCGGTATATTAAATCACTTTTGTTAACTAAGCATTTGTTGTCGTTATGTAATTAAACGTGTTCAATATAATGGAATATGAACAGAAGTATACAATAAGAGGCCAGTGATTTCAGCGATCAAACATGCTCCTTTGTATTGGTAAGCTAACCAGCCTTTTGATTTTGTCGGTTTTACGTTTACGTCCGCAATTACGGCCTATCGGCCTTTCAGCAGACGAGAAAAGATAGAAATATAAAATGAAAATAGGGGCAGAGACGTATATACCGGCTTTATATGTCTCCGATAGAAGGGACAAACTCAATGTAGCCGAAGGAAAGCTTCATATACTATAACCAGCCGCAAATGGTTTAGTTTTGTAGTATAGGACGGGTCGATTTTCAAACCCGAGGGTTGTCAGCTTTAATATGCGTCTACTAAGCCTATCCTACATTTACACATTTCGTTAATCGAATGGACCATATGGTGGTACTGTTGTGGTTAAATAAACATAAAATTGTTTTTATTATTATAAAATAAAAAGTCGAGCAGACAGATATATTCTTTGGAATAATCCGGGTAATTTCGGACACCTACCGCAGCCTGTTGGACACAGTTCGGAATTATTCGATCAAATCAGACTTGTTTGGACATCCGGAAAGAACATTCGGACACTGTTTGTATCAAATCGGACTCCTTTACCAGATAGTCGGATACTGTTCGGAATAATTCGGACATGTTCGTATCCCAAATTACAGACACTTGAAAATTCGGACGAGCTCGGATATCCAAAGAAGAATTCGGAAACTGTTCGTATCTAATCGGACATGTTCGGACTCTATACAAGACAGTCGGACATTGTTCGGAAAAGTTCGAACGTGTTAGGATAATACAAAAGACAATCGAACTCTGTTCCGAATAATTCGGTCATGCTCACTATGAACGAATTCTATCTACATACTTCCATGTAGACATGGTTTCGGGGACTGTGCTCTATACACGTGGTCCTTGTTCATCGTCCACCATGACAATCCATGTTACTTTGAATGAAATAAACAAACTGCTTGTTCGACAATCAACTTTCAATACGTTTAATAAGTTTAAGACTGTGTATCATAATGTATATATGGAGACTGTAACCATCGTCATGCGCACTATGAGCGAATCATATCTATTATTTTTTTATCGTCATTATCTAATTATGAAATGTTTCTGACATCCGCGCTCATCCTCGATATCCAGGGATTATGCTCACTTTCGCTCTCTACACCCGCACTATGAACGACTCCTATCTGTGTATCATAATGTCTTCGGGGACTTATGCATGTAAATATTGCCATGTGCTCTCTACACGTGGTCCCTTCTATCAATTAAAGCAGCAGTGTGACATGTACGTAAACGTTGCCATGTGCTCTCTACAAGTGGTCCCTTCTATGTATTAAAGAAGCAGTGTGACATGTACGCAAACATAGCCATGCGCTCTCTACACGTGGTCCGGTGGATGTATTAAAGCAGCAGTGTGACACGTACGTAAACATTGCCACGTGCTCTCTACACGTGGTCCCTTCTATCTATTAAAGCAGCAGTGTGAGAGATGTACGTGAACATTGTGAGAAGTACAATTTTTATTGTGCTCCACGACGTCGCTCCAGGAGGGTGCGCAGACCGCCCGTTCCCTATGGGTAGTCTGAAAGTTTTCTGCATGTGAGTTACTTGATTTGACCGGTTAGGTATTTCTCAGTAGTATTCTACTACAGTTTTGTTAGTTTGTTTAAAATATTTTTGTTTACTTTGAGATTAGATACCTGGTGTTTATTTTTTATAATTGTGTAAGTATTGGAGAATGATGTTTTTAGTCTAATTTGGTATGATTGTTTCTTACGGATAGGTTTGTGTGTAAGTATGGGAGATTGTGTGAACTTGTATGTGTTTTCTTTTACGTCATTGTTTCTTACAGATAGGTTTGTAAGTATGGGAGAATGATTTTGTTTTAGGTGGTTACTTTAAAATGATTGTTTCTTACAGATAGGTTCGTAAGTATGGGAGAATGGTGTTGTTGTTTCTTACAGATAGGTTTGTGTGTAACTATGGGAGAATGATTAATGAGCGACTGAATTCGCATACGACCTTGGAGCTGGGACCATGACTAGCGACATTTAATAATCCTCTGATCTCTGACTAGGGTCTTCAAATAGTTCGGGAAAAGTTTAGCACGCTTTTTTATTTGGCGCGGTTTTCAAAATGGCAGGGAGAGCACCCGGTGACCTCACGGGTTCCAGAGAAATACACTGGACATTTAATAACCCTCTTACCCGGACATTTAAATCGCCATCTGGAACGTTGTCGTACGTTTTGGGTTTTGATCTAATGGTACGATTGATAATTTTTATTGTATTTGATGGTCGGTGTGCTTGTGCTAGGTTTATTGTTTTTTCGTCTTAGGTAAAAATTGGCGATGGTTTTCGGTCTTGTGTTTTAGAGAAATGTTTCAATTTATAAGCTTATTTAGTGGTGTCTCTGTAATTGGGTTTTGATCTTGTATATTGTTGATAAAATAAATAGCTGGTACAACACGTACAGATATAAATGTTAATCTTTTAGTTGTAGAAAACGCTCATGTAATTTACGATATTGTACATTCCTTTCACTTGTCAAACGTTATTAACAAACCGACTCGCATTGGACGCATGTGCTCTACCCTGCTTGATCCTATTCTACTCTCCGACACACGTGTTTTTTCTTTCGCTGACGTAAAAGACATAGACAAGGACATTTAAGACCACCAAGCGACGACCGTGGAATTGACTGTCGGGACAAATATTGAAAAGAAAATATAAAAGGAAAATAACTCTTTATAGTGACGCAAATTACGAATAATTTAAACACCAATTAGTTGAGACAGATTGGACAGACTTATTTTCGCGGGTGCACTCCCTGGATGATAAGTGTGAAATATTTACAACGGCTTTTTTTAACCTAGCATATCAACAAAATTAGTAACGATTCGACCTAATGACAAACCATGGTTTAATTCTAACTTACGATGGGAAATCAGGAAAAGAGACAGACTATTGCACTTATTTAAATCTAATCGTTCTCCAAATAACTTGACTAATTTTCGGAAAAAACGGAATCATGTAAATAATCTTAAGAACAGGACAACAGATTTGTTTTACGCGGACATTAATGGCATTTTACATCAATACTCTGATTCGAACCCTAGAAATATTTGGGAAATTGTCCGCAGATTAATAAAATCTTCAGATAATTCCAATAGTATACCTCCCCTTAGAAACAAAACCGAAAAATTAGAAATGGCAAACGATACCAAAGCTGATATTCTAAATGATTACTTTGTTTCCATCTCGACAATCGATGATACTAACATTGACGTACCGACAGTAGAACTTTGGACGACTCCACTTTATCTGACATACCGTTCCACATGAATGATATTATAGACATTTTATAATCTTTAAATATTAATAAAGCTGTGGGTAGCGACACCATTAGCCACAATATGTTGAAAAATACAGCAAGTTCAGTAGCTCTCCCTCTATCCCTTATGTTTAGATCTTCTTTGGATACTGGTATCTTTCCCAACCAGTTGAAACAAGATGTAGTGATGCTTTTATTTAAAAGGGGGGATAAACATGAATCTGCTAATTATAGACCAATAGCATTACTTAGCACTGTTCGTAAAGTTTTTGAACGATTGATTGTAAAATATTTAAACAACTATTTGTTAGATAATTCATTAATATATAAATTTCAATCTGG